GAAGACGAGGGTCGTATGAGACTGAGGGTCATATGAAAATGAGGGTCATATGAGACTGAGGGTCATATGAAGATGAGTGTCATATGAGACTGAGGGTCATATGAAGACGAGGGTCATATGAGATGAAGGTCATATGAAGAGGAAGGTCATATGAAGACGAGTGTCGTATGAGACTGAGGGTCATATGAGACTGAGGGTCATATGAAGATGAGGATAGTATGAGACTGAGGGTCATATAAGACGAAGGTCATATGAAGACAAGAGTTGTATGAAACTCAGGGCCATATAAGACGAAGGTCATATGAAGACAAGGGTCGTATGAAATGAGGGTCATATGAAGACGAGTGTCGTATGTGACTGAGGGTCATATGAAGATGAGTGTCGTATGAGACTGAGGGTCATATGAAGACGAGGGTCGTATAAGATGAAGGTCATATGAAGAGGAAGGTCATATGAAGACGAGGATTGTATGAGACTGAGGGTCATATGAAGACAAGGGTCGTATGAGACTGAGGGTCATATAAGACGAAGGTCATATGAAGACGAGAGTTGTATGAAACTCAGGGCCATATAAGACGAAGGTCATATGAAGACAAGGGTCTTATGAGACTGAGGGTCATATGAAGACGAGGGTCGTATGAGACTGATATCTGCTCTCCATCATCCACTCTCCACCATCCGCCATCCACCATCCGTCATCCACTCTCTGCCATCTGCCATCCACTCTCCTTTATCCGCATTCCGCCATCCGCTCTCCGCCATCTGCAATCCGACATATGCTCTCCATCATCCACTCTCTGCCATCTGCCACTCTCCACCATCCACTCTCCGCCATCCACTCTCCATCGTCCATCATCCACCATCCGCCATCCACTCTCCATCATCCACCATCCACTCTCCGCCATCCACTCTCCATCATCCACCATCTGCCATCCACTCTCTGCATCCGCACTCCGCCATCCCGCTCTCTGCCATTCGATATCTGCTCTCCATCATCCACTCTCCACCATCCACCATCTGCCATCCACTCTCCGCCATCCACCATCTGTCATCCACTGTCTGCCATCTGCCATCCACTCTCCACCATGCACCATCCACCATGCACTCTCCGCCATCCGCACTCCGCTCTCTGCCATCCGACATATGCTCTCCATCATCCACTCTCTGCCATCCACTTTCCGCCATCTGTCATCCGCTCTCCACCATCCACTCTCCACCATCCACTCTCCATCATCCATCATCCACTCTCCGCCATCCACTCTCCACCATCCACTCTCTATCATCCACAATCCACTCTCCACCATCCGCTCTCCGCCATCCACTCTCCATCATCCACCATCCACTCTCCGCCATCCACTTTCCATCATCCATTATCCACTCTCCGCCATCCACTCCCCGCCATCCACCATCCGTCATCCACTGTCTGCCATCACCCATCCACTCTCCACCATGCACCATCTGCCATCCACTCTCCGCCATCCGCACTCCACTCTCCGCCATCCGACATATGCTCTCCATCGTCCACTCTCTGCCATCCACTCTCCGCCATCTGCCATCCGCTCTCCACCATCCACTCTCCGCCATCCACTCTCCATCGTCCATCATCCACCATCCGCCATCCACTCTCCATCATCCACCATCCACTCTCCGCCATCCACTCTCCATCATCCACCATCTGCCATCCCACTCTCTGCCATCCGCACTCCGCCATCCGCTCTCTGCCATTCGATATCTGCTCTCCATCATCCACTCTCCACCATCCACCATCTGCCATCCACTCTCCGCCATCCACCATCTGTCATCCACTGTCTGCCATCTGCCATCCACTCTCCACCATGCACCATCCACCATGCACTCTCCGCCATCCGCACTCCGCTCTCTGCCATCCGACATATGCTCTCCATCATCCACTCTCTGCCATCCACTTTCCGCCATCTGTCATCCGCTCTCCACCATCCACTCTCCACCATCCACTCTCCATCATCCATCATCCACTCTCCGCCATCCACTCTCTATCATCCACAATCCACTCTCCCACCATCCGCTCTCCGCCATCCACTCTCCATCATCCACCATCCACTCTCCGCCATCCACTTTCCATCATCCATTATCCACTCTCCGCCATCCACTCCCCGCCATCCACCATCCGTCATCCACTGTCTGCCATCTGCCATCCAATCTCCACCATGCACCATCTGCCATCCACTCTCCGCCATCCGCACTCCACTCTCCGCCATCCGACATATGCTCTCCATCGTCCACTCTCTGCCATCCACTCTCCGCCATCTGTCATCCGCTCTCCACCATCCACTCTCCACCATCCACTCTCCATCATCCACCATCCACTCTCCGCTATCCACTCTCCACCATCCACTCTCCACCATCCATCATCCACTCTCCACCATCCGCTTTCCGCCATCCACTCTCCATCATCCACCATCCACTCTCCACCATCCACTCTCCGCCATCCACCATCCACTTTCCGCCATCCACTCTCCATTATCCATCATCCACCATCTACTCTCTGCCATCCGCTCTCCGCCATCCACTCTCCATCATCTACCACCCGCTCTCCATCATCCGCTCTCCACTCTCCATCATCCGCTCTCTGCCATCCACTCTCCATAATGCACTGCCAGCCCACATCTATTCCTCCATATATTGACCAAGACTCCTCCTCCCAGCAGGTGAGGTGACACCCCCAGAAGTGATTGGCCAATAGGTGAAGCCCAGCTCACATCCACACCTTTATAAATTGAGCAGCATGAGTGTCTGTTGGGGTCAGTTCTGAACAATCCGGTTGCAGGAATGGCTGTGATCTCTGAGCAGTAATAGGCCGCATTTCGGTGGGACAGTAATGGTTCGTTCCTCTACTATTTCCCGTTTTATTCTCCGGACTCCGCTCATCCTTTGTCTTTTTGTAATTTCTGTCGTCCCTCGTAGGCTCCGCCCACTGTGGCTCGTTCAATGGTAACATTAATAGTCGGTTATGTGTAGTAAGCGAAGACTCCTATCCCTGGAGAGATTGTTGCATCGTGTCACCCAGGGGCGGACTGACCATTTGAGCACTGTTCGAGGGCCCGGGGTCAGTAGGGGGCCCCATGAAATGCCTCTGGTACCTTTTTTATAGGATTTTTTGGGTGTGCTTTGAGTGTGGGTGAAGACACGGGCCCCATGATCCCCTATTGCCCAGGGGCCCCATGAGTTATCAGTCCGCCCCTGGTATCACTATTGTCTGTATGTTCGGTCCATGATGGCCAATCTGGTTGCATGAGGTTTGTCAGTGTGTGTCATCTGATCTGCCAGACAGTGGTCTGTGTGTGTGTGGATGCTTCCCAGCAGACCAATCAATGGACAAACTTCTAGGTGGTGGAAAGCTACCTGAAATCTTGTGTCTGGGGTGAGTGGGCAGATGGGAAAGTGATTCTACTATGGTTCTAGCTCCCAGGATGTCTTGAGGAATCCCAGAAATGTGCTGCTGTCCAACCCTTAGAGTGCCCCAGATTGGATGTAAGATTTGTATCTGCCTGTGTGTGGCCAACCAACTAGATCTGGGTGAAGTCTCCTAGTGGTGGCCAGAGGTAATGCAGGCTGTGACTATCTTATCCCAGCTGTTCTTACCTGCTCTGAACCCCTGCCCTCGGTACTTCCTGCACCCAACAAGGTCCCTATTCCAGTTGGCTGGTCGCTTTGGGCCACATCCAGGGGCGGACTGACCATTTAGCCACTTGGGCACTGCCTGAGGACTCAGGGCCAGTAGGGGGCCCCATGAGATGCCTCTGGTACCTTTCATAGGCTTTTTTGGGTGTGGTTTGAGTGTGGGTGATGACACAGGTGTCCGTCCAATCCTGGCCAAATCCCTGATATCTGGGGCCACCATGGGATATTAGTGTGTGTGCTGCTTGTGGTTGTTTGTGTTCTCATTGAGGAACATTGGGTTTGTGACAATCTGCCAGCGTACCGGTTGATTTCTGAGGGTGTGCAGTGGTGGTGGTATTTGCTCACATATAGGCCGGCCTCCCTTGCCCCTGTACCCTGTGACACCGTCCATTTGGCCCCCATATAATACTTCCACGTCCGATGACATTGTACTGGGATGCATGGAGTTTGCAGACATCCCCAGAATTGGAATATTGCCCAGACTGTGACATTCTAGACTGACATTTCCAGTGAGCTCCACCTTGTGTGAAACCTACTCCACCCTGAGGTCTGATGACACGGTGTCACTCCTTATTAAGGTGTCACCTCAGGTCTCCTCTTCATTCCTGGAGAAGTGGCACCCGGTATCCTTCTCCTTCACAATACCCAACGTTGTCACCAGATTCCTGGAGAAGTGGCACACGGCATCCTTCTCCTTCACAATACCAGACGTTGTCACCGGATTCCTGGAGAAGTGGCACCCGGCATCCTCCTTCACAATACCCGACGTTGTCACCGGATTCAGGTAAGACCTTCCAGGATTCCTAATACGAGATAGAAAACGTGAGACGTAGAAAACAAATTACTATCAGGAAGAAAAACTCCTCATCAGGGGTGTGGACTGACCATTTGGGCACTTGGGCACTGCCCGAGGGCCCATGGTCAGTAGGGGGCCCCTTGAGATGCCCCTAGTACCTTTTTTTATAGGCTTTTTTGGGTGTGGTTTGAGTGTGGGTGAGGACACAGGGGCACCATGATCCCCTAGTGCCTGGGGGGCCCCATGAGTTGTCAGTCCGCCCCTGCTCCTCATTCAACTTTTCTAAAACGAGTTCTCAGGAACATCGGTGGAGACCTTTCAAGAGACGAATGTTCCTGAGGGGATGGGATTTTCCTGCTTCTTTCCTGCCTCTAATTTCCCCGAAGGGTTCCGCAGCCTGTGATGGCTGACCACATAATGCTGAGCGATTGTATGTTCTGTCTGTCAGGAGGAATGTCTGAAGTCACGGATTTGGAGATACTCGAACGAGTCGGATCCTGTGACTACACGCATCTTGTAGATAACACGGCTTTTCTTCCACGCAGATCTTCAGTCAGACATGAGGACGTTGTTGTACATCGCTCTGATCTTCGGGGTTCTCCTCCCGTCCGCCACCGCTAAGGACTGGGATCTGGAGAAGATGAGGCAGTGTAAGTCTGTAATGTACAGAACTGGACCGGATGTATAGATCCTCAATCCATCCAAATGTAGAGAATGTATAACTAATCATATAATTTCATAAAAATATTTATACCATTGGAGAAACTCGGCCCAGTCTTAGAGGCAAAGATCAGGGGGCTTCCATAGATCCAAGATTCCAATAGACCAGGGTCTTCCATAGATCAGGGGGCTTCCATAGATTCAAGATTGTTATAGATCAGAGATTCCTATAGACCAGGGGCTTCCATAGATCTGAAATTCCTATAGACCAGGGGCTTCCATAGATCAGGGGGCTTACATAGATCCGAGATTCCTATAGACCTGGGGGCTTCCATAGATCAGGGGGCTGCCATAGATCCAAAATTCCTATAGACCAGGGGCTGCCATAGATCCGAAATTCCTATAGACCAGGGGGCATCCATAGATCAGAGATTCCTATAGACCAGGGGGCTTCCATAAATCAGAGATCTCTATAGACTAGGGGGCTTCCATAAACCATAGGCTTCCATAGATCAGAGATTCCTATAGACCGGGGGGCTTCCATAGATCAGAGATTCCTATAGACCGGGGGGCTTCCATAGATCAGAGATTCCTATAGACCGGGGGGCTTCCATAGATCAGAGATTCCTATAGACCGGGGGGAATCTATAAACCATAGGCTTGCATTGATCAGGGATCCCTATAAAATGGCCGGTTCCATAGATCGGGGAAATCCATAGATCTGAGATCCCTATAGATCAGGGGGCTTCCATAGTTCAGACATTCCTAGAAATCAGGGACAGAGATCAGGGACATCCATAGATCATGACTTCCATAGATCAACAGCCTCCAGGAATCAGTGACTTCCATATATCAGGGGCATCCATAGGTGCTTCCATCCCCATGTTTGATTGAGGGGTGGGGTTAGGCTCAGAGTCAAGGTTCGTTTTGTGGTTAAAGTGAAGTTAAAAATTATGTTCAGGGGTTAGATTGAGGTTTGGGGCCAGGTTCTGGGTTGAGGTTTAGGTTGGGGTTAGTAGTTTGTTAGGTTGAAGGTTAGATTGAGGTTTGGGGCCAGGTTTTGGGTCAAGGTTTAGGTTGGGGTTAGCAGTTTGTTAGGTTGAAGGTTAGATTGAGGTTTGGGGTTAGATTCAGGGTCAGGCCTAGGGTTAGGTTGAAGTTAAGGATCCTCTTCATAGCACCTACTTCCAAAAACCAGAAGGAAATGTATTGGCCCCGGCGAGTCTCTTGGTGCACATTTGATGTTTCGCCTTCAAGATTGTACATACCCAAATAGATCTAAAGTTGGGAAAGTTTGTCCCCTTCATTCATTGGCTCCTGGGGTTTTGGAATCCGCCTTCTGGAGGGCCCCTGTTGTAGTTACATTGGAATATAGAAGGGAAGTGGGAGTTAGTATTCCTTGTAAGGTGGGAAGAAATAGACTGAGGATTTGAGACAATGAGAGCCGAAGTGGGTGGGGCAGTGGGTGAAATGCCCACCCCTGAGGTTCTTACCAAATCTTTTCCTGCAGGTACGTGCACAGGCAACGCAACTAACGAAATCCCAACAGCCGTGGCCCGCGGCTGCATTACTGACACCCGGGGGAAAGAGAGTCACGTAAGTCATAGAAATTACATCGTCCAGTGTTTGGGGGTGCCCATCATGTGATTGGAGAAGAATCTGAGCACACCCCATTCTTTCATTACAGGACAGCTGTGTGTAGAAAAACATCTTTCCCCCCCCCCCCCCCCCCCCCCCCAGGATCAGAACTTTATTTCAGTGCAATTCCACTCTGAAACTTGTTGATGGAACTCTCGGAACCTATAGAACTAGTAATGGCCGAGGTGCATTTGGGGAACACAGGATGGGCACATTGGGCAGGGTGTTGCCTCGTTTGTTCGGTTTGTCTAGATAATAATAGCTGGTGTAGCCTCGCCCTATACAGGAACACCCATGAAACCAGAACCTGAACTTCTACATTTAACCATCAATATAGAACGCACGTGTCCTGGGGCGCCATGGCAGCCATTCTGGGTACACAAGAACAGCCAAGAAATTCAAAGTCTTGACTTTCTCAACATGAGTCATGACTTGTTCTTCCCCGTTCACCTCCCTCCACTCCTTATACTCAATGGGACCGCCCACCAAGCGGAAGAACCAATAGGCAGAACATGGGAGGAGGCCATCCAGCCCTCATCTATTATCACAGAAAGTCAAGTTTGCATATCGGGATTCGTGAGGTCCAGGGGCCACTGGTAAGGTTAATAGAAGATAGGTGCAGCAACTTGAGGAGCCTGTACCCCTCCATCTCAATGGGAAGGGTATGCCAGGGCTGCAGTACCCAACCTTCCCATCCCCCACCTCTCCATTATCGTCATAGATCCACTCTATGGTGGTTGGATGGTGGTCACGGCCATTGTTGACCAGATCCAGCGATAATGTAATGTTTGTGGAGCGATTTGATGGTACTAGACTGGTGTCCCCCTAAAATAAGTGACACCAGCTGGGTCTGCAGTACCCAACCTTCCCATCCCCCACCTCTCTCCATTCGCATCATTAATGTACGGGTCGCACTTTTGAGGGCCCCCCCCCCGTATCTCGTGGCCTCTTCAAAACAAAAACAATGGGTTCCAGGCCGATAAAACAGACCAAGAATGTGGCTGTCTGTTCAATAATTTGGTATTAAATGTTTTAGGACAACCAGGGAAAGTATCTGATGTGTACCAGCCTCTTCCAGTCCCTGTACAGCAGAGCTCGGACTAGGAGAGGTTGAAGCAGTGCCAGGAACCAATTCGTCAATCTCGTGTTAACATAAGACACTGATAGGAGGAGAGATCAGAGTGACAGATGAGCTCCCCAGGCTACTTCACTGCCCAATAACAGGCTGGGGGAGAGACAAGACCTGTAAGTGTTACTTGCAGCAGAGAAACTTTGGGTCTTCTCTGCTGTCAGACATGGCTGTGCTGTGTGGCAGAGCTGGGTACATCTCGGGACTGGATGGACAGAAATACAAATCCTTTGGCATGAAGTCCACTCCCTTCTATGTATTTCATCATTGGATTTAGCAGTTTTCAGGATTAATAGAAAATGGAACTCTATGTATTTCTCATCCAATAAATGCCGGTATGATGGTTGATCGGTCGGAAGGAGCATGTTCCCCTGGAGGGGACACATTCAGAAGGTATCATGCAGATCCCATGTGGTGTCCTCCTGTGTAGATATTCATGATCTTCTCTGTTGTAGGCTGAGACTGTCGCCTTCAAAGAACGATGGCTGCATCGCCAACATCCTGGACAAGGCGTCTCCCGGAGAGATCTATGCCATCATGAACTACAATGGAAAACTGGATGGAGGCACCAAGCAGTAAGTGTACTCTATAAACATGAGCGGTGCGTACAGTAACTGGTAGCGGCCAATCAGAAACCATCTTCACTGACCAATCTGACACCATGGGTGGAGCCAAACACAAGCACATGATGGTGTATTGAGCACCTCATGATACGATACTCAACGGCCAACCCCAAAGGAGCCAGCAACCAATTCCTAGTGTTGGGGAACGTTGCCGGCTACAGGCAGAGGAATTCCTGTGTGAGAGATGAGGGGCCCCGAATACATGAGGGCTGTGGGTGCTGCAAGTATGGGACTTGTATCGGGTGGTTGGAGTATTCTTCAAGAAGTATAGATAATGTTGTTTAGGAATTACTTCTCTTCTGGGTCCCAGAACTGTCCGAAGTTCTACTCTCCTGAGACTTGTTTTCAGCTGACAGTAGGCTGTCTGCTGTCAGCTGACATCACAGAGCGGTCCAGACTCCGCAGGGATCCTGACAATAATGCTGGGATCCACCCAGATGCCTGAACCACCACCTGGCCTAGCCTCTCAGCAGGCCACTGAGAGTCAGTCATTCCCGCCCCCACCACAGCCTGGTGTGCCAGTAAGCCCTGGAGGGGAAGAGCAGAGAGCAGGAGACTGACGGTCACTGCTCTCTGCTCAGACTGAGCCATCAGTGGTCATGTGATCAGCAGTCATGTGATCAGTGGTCTTTGATCACTCAGTTCTAAGTCTTAGAGGCAGCTGGGGACAGATGCAGCATCCACCTAGGTGAGTATGTGTATTTGGTTTTTTCTTGAATCCCGCACTTTTATTGGAAGCTCAGCTCATGGAGGAACCAGTTTCAATCGAGCCCTTTAAGTCTGCAGTGAGCAAGACTGGTGAAAAGAGCCAATGCATTTTGTGTGTTCAAACATAACTCGGGTGTGCTTTTACTCCCGAAATAAGTTGGCTCTTGTGTTTTTCACCTCAAGAATTGATTCTTTGGGGAGATTTACCTTCTGGCTCCTTCTTTTGTGCTCCATTGGTTCTTTGTTGCTTAATTGGTTCTTCATGGGAATTTACCTTCTGGCTCTCTGTGGTGCTCCGTTGGTCCTTCATGGAGATATAACTTCTGTTTCCTTCTTTCATGCTCCATTGGCTGTTCATGGGAATATACCTTCTGGCTCCTTCTGTGGTTCTTCCTGGATAAATACCTTCTGGCTCTGTGATGGAGGGTAGGCAGGACAGAGCAGATGGCAAACACACAAAGCATTATTGAGACAAAATGACAGTCACTCAATGGGGGAATTGCAGGGAGGGTGACCTCGCCAATAGGGGAACAGCAAGGAGGATCCGACAGGGTGCTCGGTCTCCCAGGGTAAGATAGTATGACACCGGTACCTGTTGGGGTCCGGAGTAGGCAAGCGGTCTCTCCCTTAGCTGGGTCTCAAGCTGGCTGGCGTGTGCGGTCTCCCCCCTTTGGCTAGGGGTCTCAGGCTGGCTGGTGTGTGCAGTCTCCCCCCTTTGGCTGGGGGTCTCAGGCAGGCTGGCATTTGCAATCCCCCCCTCTGGCTGGGGGGTCTCAGGCAAAGTTAGCCACGAGGGTCCCGCCGCAGCTGGGATCCCTCGGTGGCTGGGCAGCGGAGAAGGATGATCGGGGAGCCCGGCATAAGCTTCTTAAGCTGATGCAGGACGCTCTCCGTTCATCCTGGCAACTGGGGGCCTTTTACAGAAACCCGGAGCGATGGTCCTTGTATTCATGCGCAAAGGTCACCATTTCTAATGACATTCCAATTCAGTAGGTGACACCACGTCTTCTGTGCCCTCAGGTCACCAGACATGGACGCCACAAAGACGGCCCCCCGTAGTAATGCAGAGGACGAGATGGAGTTCAGCTTTACAGTGAATGTGGAAGACGGAAGACTTTCTGCCTCCGAACCCCTGAAGAAGTGAGTTCTCCTTGCATGACACCTGAAAACAAGGACCACCAGATAATGGGGGGGGGGGGGACACCCCAAACATGTAGGCAGCCCCCTGTCCTTCACCCGTCTGTCACAGGTTTTGGTGAGTCAGGTTGGCCCCCTGAAATTGCTGTGCCAATGAGGCACAGTGCCCTTTATTGACCTCTTCCACTTCTGAACTATTTGGAGGACCAGAAATGGCCTGCAGATGAGATGGTTCTCTGATAGTCCACGAATACCGCCCCTCCCCCAAAGGCTGCAATAACAAAAAGCCCCATTGTAGCCAAAGGGGCTCAAAGTGGCCTCTTCAATGAATGAATATTTGGAGTCGGAAAATGTTTCCGGAGACTCATTGGAATCCTCCATTGCTCTGTGTTTGCAGGGGGACATGAATCCCATCCTGGACACACCCTCCGGATGGCGCTCCCCACCATCTTCCATGGAAATCTTGTTCTGTATTAAGGTTTTTTTTTTTTTTCTCACCAGGCACATCATCAGCGTAAGAAGACGACGGCGGGAACTAATGCCCTTCAGTTTTATGACCTTCAACATAGCCGTCCGATTGTACGTCCATCCATCGCCTGTATACTCCACCATGGATTGTACAGGGGGGAGGGGCCTCCACTGCAACTGTTTGTGGGAACATTCTGCTGTAGTGGCAGTTGGGGGACATTTCTATTTCCTAAAGTGTAGCTTTGTGAAATAGGACCCCCCCCGGGTGATCTCTGCCACATTTGGTACAATCCCTACAATGTACAGTTTCCCACCTTTTTGATGCTCCAAAGAAATCTCTGTATGTTTCACCATGTCCTCGGCAGACTGATTCTGAATAGGAGGGGCATGGGGCTTGTGAATGGGAGGGGGGTCTGATTCCATAATGGGAGGGGTCTGGGTTTTATGAATGGGAGAGCTTTGATTTCAGAATGGGAGGTGTCTTAGGTTTGTGAATGGGTGGGGTCTGGCTTTTGTGAATGGGGGGGGGGGGGGGGGGGGGGTCTGATTCCAGAATAGGAGGGGTCTGAGGTTTGTGAATGGGAGGAGTCTGGGCTTGTGAATGGGAGTGGTCTTATTCCAGAATGGGAGGGGTTTGAAGTTTGTGAATGGGAAGGATCTGGCTTTTGTGAATGGGGGGAGGGTCTGATTCCAGAATGGGAGGGATCTGAGGCTTGTGAATGGGAGGGGTTTGATTCCAGAATGGGAGGGGTCTGAGGTTTGTGAATGGGGAGGGGTTTGATTCCTGAATGGGAGGGGTCTGGGGCTTTTTTGAATGGGAGGGGTCTGATTCCAGAATGGGAGGGGTCTGAGGCTTGTGAATGGGAGGGGTCTGATTCCAAAATGAGAGGTGTCTGAGGTTTGTGAATGAGAACTTTTTTTTTTAAATTGTGTTGTGTGAAATGTTGACTTTGGTTCTCTCTTCTCCCGCAGAGACCAGGAGGCCACCTGTGATATGAAGGATCAGACCCAGGCTTTGGTAAAGTATAAGATCCCCAACAGAACCTCAACCCTCCCATCCCCTCTTCCCTTCCTTGCCCTTCCGTCGCCCTCCTTCCTTCCCTTTCCGTCGCCCTCCTTCCTTTCCGTCGCCCTCCTTCCTTTCTTTCCGTCGCCCTCCTTCCTTTCCGTCGCCCTCCTTCCTTTCCGTCGCCCTTTCGTCGCCCTCCTTCCTTTCCGTCGCCCTCCTTCCCGTCGCCCTCCTTCCTTTGCGTCGCCCTCCTTCCTTTGCGTCGCCCTCCTTCCTTTGCGTCGCCCTCCTTCCTTTGCGTCGCCCTTTCCTTTCGCCCTCCTTCCTTTGCGTCGCCCTCCTTCCTTTGCGTCGCCCCCTCCTTTGCGTCGCCCTCCTTCCTTTGCGTCGCCCTCCTTCCCTTCCGTCGCCCTCCTTCCCTGCGTCGCCCTCCTTCCCTTCCCTCGCCCCCTTCCTTCGTCGCCCCTCTTCCCTCGCCCTCCTCCCTTCCCTTCCCTCGCCCTCCTTCCCTTCCGTCGCCCTCCTCCCTCGCCCTCCTTCCCTCTTCCGTCCCCCTCTTCCCTCGCCCTCCTTCCCTTCCGTCCCCCTCTTCCCTCGCCCTCCTTCCCTTCCGTCCCCCTCTTCCCTCGCCCTCCTTCCCCTTCCCCCCTCTTCCCTCGCCCTCCTTCCCTTCCGTCCCCCTCCTTCCCTCGCCCTCCTTCCCTTCCGTCCCCCTCTTCCCTCGCCCTCCTTCCCTTCCGTCCCCCTCTTCCCTCGCCCTCCTTCCCTTCCGTCCCCCTCTTCCCTCGCCCTCCTTCCCTTCCGTCCCCCTCTTCCCTCGCCCTCCTTCCCTTCCGTCCCCCTCTTCCCTCGCCCTCCGCCCTTCCGTCCCCCTCTTCCCTCGCCCTCCTTCCCTTCCGTCCCCCTCTTCCCTCGCCCTCCTTCCCTTCCGTCCCCCTCTTCCCTCGCCCTCCTTCCCTTCCGTCCCCCTCTTCCCTCGCCCTCCTTCCCTTCCGTCCCCCTCTTCCCTCGCCCTCCTTCCCTTCCGTCCCCCTCTTCCCTCGCCCTCCTTCCCTTCCGTCCCCCTCTTCCCTCGCCCTCCTTCCCTTCCCCTCTTCCCCCCCTCCTTCCCTCCTCCCCCTCCCTCGCCCTCCTTCCCTTCCGTCCCCTCTTCCCTCGCCCCCTTCCTTCCCCCCTTCCCTCGCCCCCCTCTTCCCTCGCCCTCCTTCCCTTCCGTCCCCCTCTTCCCTCGCCCTCCTTCCCTTCCGTCCCCCTCTTCCCTCGCCCTCCTTCCCTTCCGTCCCCCTCTTCCCTCACCTCCTTCCCTTCCGTCCCCCTCTTCCCTCGCCCTCCTTCCCTTCCGTCCCCCTCTTCCCTCGCCCTCCTTCCTTCCGTCCCCCTCTTCCCTCGCCCTCCTTCCCTTCCGTCCCCCTCTTCCCTCGCCCTCCTTCCCTTCCGTCCCCCTCTTCCCTCGCCCTCCTTCCCTTCCGTCCCCCTCTTCCGGGAAGTTGACGAGAAATGATTGTTATGGGTGGAGCTTTTCACTGAGGGGGTGAAGAGAGCAGAAGGTGGTCTGGTTTGGTCGACTGAATCTCATCGATCAATTATCAGTCTTACCCTAGATCATCTTCTCTGATCATCTTATTGATCATTTCCATTTCTGTCTTTACAGCTCATGAAAGGAATTAAGCGTTATTGGACCAAGATGACCAACTGTCTACGTAAGGAAACCGTACAAAATGCTACCAATGTGTGGTGTTCATTGGGAGAGGAGAACATGAAGCATCCCCCCCAGAAATTCATCCATCAGGAAGCATCCCCCCCAGAAATCCATCCATCAGGAAATTCCCCCCCAGAAATCCAACCAGCCAATGTAGAATCGGTCAGCTATGAATGGTGGAAAAAGATGTGCCAACATTTCACTTTAATATCAGAGCGCCGTTCTCCTGTATCACTCCACCTCTTATCCCCCTCCCCCGACATGTTCTGTAAAGTAATTGGATGTTTTTAGTGTCTCACTTTAAGCATTTGAAAAAATCCCTTCTGGCCACTTCGAGTTTTCAATTTTGCTTGACTTGGTTCCTGTACCCCGAGGCAGGGAATGTTTTATCACTGCCTTAGTTAAACCTCTATTCGTTCAGAAACTGGATTTTCTTTAATTTGACAGTTTCAGTTCTCATTGACTTCAGTAGGGTTTGGGTTTAGTATCCACATTTCGATGTTCAGAGAACATTGATCTAATCGAACCCAGGGCACTTCAGCCCGTCCTTGGTAGAGGCATCCAACGTATAAATACTTAATTACCACAAATCAAATCTTAGAATTGATACAATGAAATGCATCAAAGGGTCCCCAATCTGTGTGGATTGGAGGGGGCTCATCCTGGACGTGTATCAGTTATGGACTGGATGGGGCTCCTCCTGGACGTGTATTGATTGTGGACTAGAAGGGTCTCCTCCTGGACGTGTATGGATTGTGGACTGGAAGGGGCTCCTCCTGGACGTGTATGGGGGACTCCTCCTGGACGTGTATGGATTGTGGACTGGAAGGGGCTCCTCCTGGACGTGTATGGATTGTGGACTGGAAGGGGGGTATGGATTGTGGACTGGAGGGGGCTCCTCCTGGACGTGTATGGATTGTGGACTGGAAGGGGCTCCTCCTGGACGTGTATGGATTGTGGACTGGAAGGGGCTCCTCCTGGACGTGTATGGATTGTGGACTGGAAGGGGCTCCTCCTGGACGTGTGTAGATTGGATGGGCCGTGTCCTGGATGTGTGTGGATTGGATGGGGCTCCTCCCAGCCATTGGTTCTCTTGGTGTTTACATTTTATTTCTCCTTTTTACAGTTGATGTCACAGAATGAGCCCCAACGAGCGTCTACTGAAGGAACAGACGAGGTCCATCCGCCCGGTACTGGTCGCATTAGTCTGGACCACCTGCTGATGGCGAGATGTTAAATGTGCCAATAAAATATATAAAGTTGACTTTGCTGACTCTTATTTCAGGTGGGAGGAATGTCGGCTTTTGGCTCGTTAATATTTCTGTGTGCGCCCGTGTTAGAGGGGACATTTGGATATCCACCCAGTGGCCGGATGCTCTAGGGCCCCCATAGTTTACACTTTAGTAAATAACCCCCTCACTATTTATGGACCTCTAACAGTCATACATGTTTGGAAAAAGTTGGTTTTGGCCCTTCCTCCTCTTCATATTAGAGATCAGTGTTGGGGGTGGGGCCAGACATAGCATGCCTCCCATTGGCTACCAGAACAGATAATTTTGGGTGTGGTTCAAGGGGATCTGCTAATTTGCATCTTGCCAGCCCCTCCGAGCTGCAGAAACTAGGAATTGTTAATCTGAGATATTTAGAGATGTAAACCTCAGAGATCTGGTTTCTTCTAGAAAGCTGCATTTCATTGTGGGATCTGGGCTTCAGTCCGGTTCTTTATTTTCACCCTCAATCCTCTCCCAGGATAAAAGTGACCTCCCCACCCCCATAGAGGGAACATATTCACTGAACGTATATTCTGCGTTCACACCCGGTGATGTGC